ATTATATTAAAGAAAACGATATAATTTATTAATGACAAGTACTTTATAATATTCTGCAGAGATTAGAAGACCAATATGAATGCTTTTGTCTTTGTTAAAACATATTTTTATATGAAAATTTTACCGGTTTTGTGAAGAAGCTGCTTAAAGTGCCAATAATTGGGTGGTTTACCCTATTATCAATAAATTAAGGAATGATTAGGTATTTCGTAATATCAAGACATTCGTTTTATGAGGTACCTGTTTATTTGTTATTTAAGAATGGATGAAATATGGTAGCTAGCAGGCAATTTATTCTATATTAGAACAGTACTGATCTAATCTAGTTTCCAAGTTATTAAGTTCTAAGTAATTAGTTTGTAGTAGAAAATGTCGAAATATTGCATCTAAAGTCAGTTAAAAATACTATATGGACCAATGGGCGGGAAAATTCCAGTAATTTTTGAAATTTGGTTATAGAATAAACAGACCCATAGACACAGTAATTATGTTAACTACTTCTCTATTTAATAATACTTTACAAAAATATCACAAAGTAAGGGGAAGTATATATTTTTATTCTAAACAGATGACTAATGTGATGTTATAACAAGGTGTACTAACAATTGAAATGGGTTTGTGTAAACAGAATGTAGCAAGCATGCCTCCAACATCTATACTCGGGCCAAGATCAATTTGAAATGTTTGTAAGTAAACCACAAAGGTGAGAATACATCTGGCCAAAACAATACACTTTTCTATCTTTTTATCATTTATTTTACTCCATACTTTTAGTAATTAGAGGGAGGAAGTGGGCGGGAGTAGTATCGCTTGTGGCAGAAATGTTAATATATAATACTACCCTCATGATTTGTTAATATTTCACATAGATTCTTTTTTGAGGCAGTTAATTTTTCAATGACTTCTTCCGCCCGGTTGAGGCGAGAGGGAGTGTCAGACTCTTACTGACTAAAAACCACCCCGTTCCTACTCCTGCACTTCGAGCCGGAGCTCCTGCAATCCATTAAGCCCTCCGTTGATCTTGGCCTAGTATAGACTCCATGTCTAGTTACATTTCGACTGATTTCATTGAGCAACAATATTGTTTATTTTTCAAAGTTGCACCCACATTCTGTCTGTTTAGTCTAACAAAGTATTTCTGCATATTGATAAATATTTCCAATAATCGTAGATTGTCTAGAAAGCTAAGTACTTGCGAACATTATAAGTGACTGATACTTATATGTAATGAAGATTACATTTTTATACTATCTTATTTGAATGGATACTATGGATCTAAGATATGATTCTGATACAGTTTTAATTTTATGTCAACAATTTGCTTGCACGGCAACTCACCATGTACAGGGTGACTTTAGCATTTCATCAATTGCCTAAGGTGTAAGACTTAATTAAAACTCAGGAGTGTGTAATGATGAGCTGCCATGCAATAACTTCAGTAGTCACATAACAATATAATAAGTACTTTCTTCAAACACTCCATTGTACATTGTCCAACGCTCCAATAAAACAATTGCATCTTGTCCCCAAATTGTTATTACATTAACATTTAAGATAACAGTATGTACACATCACTTTTTTATTTGTCAACATAATTCTGATACTAAGTACAGATCGGCACATTACTTCCACAATGGAATTATTCATAATCAATACAATACAACATTATTATCATACAGTCAAATGTAAATAAATAAAAAAACAATTATTTACAAAAATATACAAAGAAAATAATATAATATATTTTCAATGCACAAGGCAATGGTGTTGGTGTCAGCCTCACATTGTCACTACATCCAGCCCTCTGTTGAGCAGGGCAGCTTGCACTTTGAGCACTTAGGTAGGTAACTCTGGAAGAATCGCTGACCCGTCTACGTATCGTACTTCTCAGCATCACATTGACTAGCCCAGAATAAACAGTTACCAATTCCGCTATAACAAATTAATATCACGGCTGCGAGGAAGACTACACTGCACACGGTACACGGCTTCCTTTCTAGGAAGAATCCTATTAGATATAAGACCATGAACATAACATGTGTGTTCACTAAAGCCGGGTTCACGGGCTTCGGTATTAGCAGCACAGGAATAAGCCATTGCAAACAATACATGTCGCCGAATACACACGCAAGTCTCGATTACAATGGCCGAACAGTAATGTCGGTATGAATTAGCGTTTGTGTTGCAATCGACATGATTCAATTGATAACTTCATTATTTTTACAGTGTAGAAACAAAATGTTGCAGTTCTGATTTGCGTTTAATTTTTGACAGCTAGTGAGTGATGGGTGGCAAGAAGATAAAAACATTGTCAGACTTAAAAAAGGTAGTCAAGGTATGAAAGTTGCCAGTTTAATATAACAGCACGTAGGTATATTGAAGAATCTCAGTAAAATTGTAAAACCTTAAAAACAATAACTAAGTTTAACTAACACGTAACGGTAGGGAGCCGAGGGGAGGGAGGATTATGAGTGGAAACAGAGACCCGTGTCTTTGTTGTTGATGAAGATTGCGTTGTATTTCGCTGGCCCCATCCTTTCTCCGTCTATCCTCAATTCCAAAAAGGCCGGTAACGTATGTGTAACTCCTCTGATGTTGCTGGGGTCTTTGTTACAATTAAGTGGTTCGTATGATTCTTCGCCGCCCAATCTCATTCCTATAAAAATATTTTGTAGCTAGGTAGTATTCATATAGCTACGTAGGTATCTACCTACATAACATACCGAAGTCTTTAAGTAACGAGTAAGTAAGTACTTAAGTTCTCGCAAAGTAAGAAGCCCATTAATTATGTGTGTCGGTACGATAGACAATTTGTTTTCTTCACCTTTACCGGAGTTTAGAAGCATTCGAGTGGAAACTGAAGTTAGATAACGAGTCAACTCATGATTAACAATGTTCAAATGTTCATTATTGGAGTACGACTCGCGGGAATTAGTTAAGTAACCAGTCTTCGAATATTTTTAATTATTCCTTATAGAAGTTCTATGAGGTCAACAAGACAGTAAAAGTGGATATTTTGAATTTTTATGCGATAAGACGGCAAACGAGACGACGGATCACCTGATGGTAAGCAATCCGCGTCGCCAATAGATACCCGCAACACCATAGAAGGTACAAGTACGTTGCTAGTCTTACCAAACCATGGCAGGCCTTGGCTATTATTAACTACGAGTGAAAAAAAAAATTGTTAGCCTTGAGCCGTGTAGTGTGGTGGGTGAATAGCAGAGTAGAATTATAAAATAAAATACTAGCAACTCAGGCGCGGTTCCACTCGCTTTCCTCATTCATTACCTATCGATTCCATCGAAATTTTTTATAGCTATAGACTATAGGCCTTCCTCGATAAAACGAGTATCCAACGCAAAAGTAATGATTCAAATCGGACCAGTAGTTCCTGAGATTAGCGCGTTCAAACAAACAAACTCCTTAGCTCTCAGAAGAGTATTAAGATATAAGATTAATACGAGGGTATTGGCAGAGATTGGGTAGTAGTGCAGCGCTCTGACGCTTTATGATTAAGCTGAGGTTTTTAAAGTGGAGTTTCCAACCTGCTTACAAAGCGTGGAGACTGAGACGGACTCTTCGAAGACCCTCTTATGTAGAGGAGGCGTACGTAATACAATGGCCTTTTAATCTTTTAACGCGTTACCAGATTTGCATTATAGGTATACCTACAATGTAACACCCACTTAACTTATAAATCTTTTTTTATGGGATAAGCCGGTAAACGAGCCGACGGATCACCTGATGGTAAGCAATCGGCGCCGCCCATAGACACCTGGATACCCGCCGGTTTCCATTACAACTTTACAAGTGCCCGGGCCATTTGGGATTGTTAGGGATTAGCGGATGGGGAGGTTGGGGGAATTGGGCCTCCGGTAACATCACTCACACGACGAAAAACACAACCAAAGCGTTGTTTCACGTCGATTTTCTGCTAGGTCGTGGTATCACTGCGGTCGAGTCAGACCACTTGTTTGAGGTAGTTTGCCGTACACGGAACACAATGCCAGATTCCATGCTATCACTACGATGTCTATCAAAATCTTGAACTTACATCCTTTGCCCAACCTGAGAAATGAGAATCTCATCTAGAAATTTCTTATCTCTATTATGAAGGAATTAGGCTCTTATGTGATTACAGAGGCCATCGACACAGGCGAACTGGCACTTTCTTTTATTTTGCCAGTGTCGCTCGATCGTAAATCACTGTCAACAGCCCACTACGCCGCCCCTTCCATTAGCTGTTAGCACTATAAACATTTTTCAAAACTTGAAATTCATTTAGTCTGATATTATGAATCATGGGAAACTATAGATTGTTAATTGTTTTACATTTTACAAATAACACAGATAATTACAATATTCGCTGAAATAGGAATAAAATGAAATTAGGTACTTATTCTATTTATAAATCAAATCGTAATGACGGCGTTAAGTCTAGGTAATTGAACCTACTACCTACACCTAGTCTTCAGTTACGCTGCTTTGATTTAATGTCAGACTACGAATCAATGTTGTCTACAACGTGTTTTGCTTGTATGTAGGCGTTCGGATTCCAGTCGTTCATTGAAAAATCCTCCATTTGAGTGTAAGTGCCACGGAGAGGGCATTACTTCAGCGCATGCGTGTGAAAGCTTGTCCCTCTCACACCCGCATTTCGGGCGCGTTTCCCGCCAGATACGCGCGACCCCGCGGCCGCCATCACATAGAACCAATCAAATTCAATATGTTCAATATAAATCCTTGCGACTATTTACAATATTAAGTTCAGTGACGTGCCAATTCTTAAGTTTACGGTTTACACAAAAAATGGTTATTAGTAAATCATTAGACATGTCGTTCAATCTCCACGTAAAAGCATTCATAACTTTGACGTGTAATTTATTGGTCCTCATTATGTGCCACGACATGGAATCTGAATCGTTTTAAAAGTTAATAATGACAATAAGACGACAATAATTAAAGTTTAATTAGAAGTATAATAGAAATAACGAAAGATGGCGAACACAGCACATTTGATGAGGCGACAGAGCTCGCGGGACCTGTACGCACAGCGCTCAATAGATAGGATGGAGATGAAAGAGCTGCGAGGGCGACTGGTGACGATGGAGAATGGGCACCCGTCCCACCGCACACACGTCATGTACGGTGCCACTAATGAGGCTTTCGAGGACACCAGCCCCAACAGGCGGTCCTCAGAGACGCCGACTAGCAAGGCGAGCTCCGTGGAGGACCGAGGTGGAGTGAAGCCCGAAGGTGGTGGAGTCGAGAGAGAGTCGTGGGACAGCAAGCTCACTTTTCTGTTAGCCACCGTGGGGTATGCCGTGGGATTAGGTAACGTTTGGAGGTTTCCATACCTAGCACAAAAGAATGGCGGGGGAGCATTTTTGATTCCATACTTCGTGATGTTAGCGATTGAGGGGATACCGATATTTTATTTGGAGTTGGCGATCGGGCAGCGCCTGCGGAAAGGAGCCATAGGTGTGTGGCACCAGGTGTCTCCTTACTTGGGTGGGATCGGGATCAGTTCGGCGGTGGTCTCGTTTAATGTAGCGCTGTACTACAACTCTATCATCGCCTGGTGTCTGTTCTACTTCGCGCAAAGCTTCCAGGCAGAACTGCCGTGGGCCGAGTGCCCGAAGAAGTACTTCGCTAATGGATCATATACTGCTGAGCCTGAATGTGCAGTAAGTGAGAATTTTCTGATATTTTTCATGTGATACTCTTGTTTGTCATACGCGCTCGAATGTTATGCGTTTTAATCTACTTTTTGGAATGAGCACCTAGCTTCACCTAGTTTCACTGACGGACTGACTGACAGACTAATATTTATTTTGTATTTGTTGACGTTTCAAAAGTACCAAACTATGGTTTAATTGAAATAAATGCTTTACTTTGACTTTGAATTATCTAACCGTAACAACAACAGTAGGTACAGAACCATTCCATATATGTATTAAATTTACTTTATCATCACTAATCTTGTTTAAGAATCCGGTATTTGTATTTTACACTCTCTGTTCTATAGGTGAAGGTTTACAGTCAGTGTGCGTTAGTTCAGGAGATTTGAACCAGTGTTCAGAAACGCGCTCTTATGAAAGGTTATTGGCCAACATAAGCTACGTACAGTGCGTTTCGAATCGATATCGAAACTCCGGCTAGTTACAACGATATTTTAGTTATTGGAGAAACAGTTGTATATTCACTGTTGTTAAAGCCCTGCTTGTTAAAACTTAGCTTATTTGTTCGCTAAATCTAATCTATCTAATCACAAGTACGTATTTGCGAAATTGATTTACTAGACTTGGTGGATTTGAGTTTACGTTTTTGAATAATAAAACTTAGACTTTTTTACATAATTATTATGTGATGACTGTATCAATCAATGTCTTATGGAGACTTTTTTTACGTAATACTTTATAATACGGTTCTGAACATACTTAACTACTAAGTTACACCGCTACGCGAAATTATATAATTTTCCATATATTTTTTTGTATGAATTGACCGAACTAGCTTCATTTTAAATAGGTTTGTAAAACGTAGGTGGTAGATATTTTAACAATGAATTTGGGACTTCTACCGATGCTTTTTCTCATAGTAAGTACTAAGTATCTAATCAGAAGGTACAAGCCCGATACCCTCGTCTCGCTTTGTTTACTTTGACTTTGAAAATATTAATTGGCTGAGTGGTCGCAAGTGCGACTGCCGGGCGAGGGATCTTGCTTTCGATTCCCAGGTCGGGCAAAGTATTACTGGGATTTAAAAAACATCAGTAGTAGCACGGAGTCTGGAATTGTGCCTGGTATGCGGGCCTTTAAGGCGGGTATGCCCGGCAATATGCTCACTGCCTATTACGTGTCGTAACGTGGCAACGTGTACATTGTACAGTGGCATTAAGTACTGTAATGTACACACACGCTTCTACCTTCCCCTCGGGGATAAAAGGCTTGATGTTTTGTTATGCACGATGAAAATATTAAAGCGTTATTTTGTAGCCTATAACACCGTAAATTAAATATTATTTTGTTATTAAAAAAGGATTAAGTACATCCAGATAATCTGCTGTCGATACATTTAAGGCCAGAGGTATAGAAAGGTTCCGAGTTAGCGTTTTTAAAAGAGATACCCTTGGAATGGGGATGATGACTACACAGTTTTAAATGTCCTTCTGGTATATTAAATATTTCCAATATTAAGTATAGTAACACATATTAGGCTTAGGTACTTACATTTAAAACCCAGTAATACTTTGCCCGACCCGGGAATCGAACCCGAGTCCTTGTCCGGTAGTCGCACTTGTGGCCACTCGGCGAACAAGTTTACAAGCTTCGAGCTCCAAAAATTTCATTCTTTTCTTAAACCTACATTTTAAAACCTAAAGTTTGTGTGTGTATATACATAATTATGGTTGTTACTCAATACCGTCAAAATGGCTAAAGAGACAGGGATGAAATTAGGTACAGGGGTAGATTATGGTTGGAATAACACATAGGCTACTTCTCAGGGGCTTAGCTGGCGCCGTATCTGTCGTATCAATTATGCGGGCCCCCCAATGCGTGTAAACAAAAATGAATATAAACTTTCCAATTTATATTTTTAGCAGTAATCACAAAAATAAAATAAATGATTTTCTCGCGTTAAGCATGCGCTCAAAGGTTTGCAGATACTTTAGATAGACTATAAAGTAATCATAGTCCAATAGTTTGGGCAGAAGTTTATAGTATTCCAGTTTTCAGACATATTTGTGTTTTATATGAAGTAAGTAGGGTGTTCCTTGTCTATGGTCCACAGATAATATTAGATATTAAGTATTCTATGATTTCATTAAAATAATAAGTCTGTGGACCATGGACAAGACTTCATTTTTAATTTTTTAGCTTTTATTTTATTTTATTTTTATTTTTAAATTTTTTATGTGTGTTCTGCGCAGAAATAAATGGTTTTTCTTTCTTCTTCTTTCTTTCTTTCTTATGAAAAAAATCTCTTGTGCTGGCAGAAGATAAATGATTATTATGTTAATTGCTATTTTAATTGCTCAATTAAATCGTTGCTTGCTTCTTGCTCACACCATTGACTTCTCTGCATCACCCAAAGGTCAGACTAGGAGAAAATGCCTGCGGCATTAAATCCACCTTATGTACACATTGTGCATGAAGCTTAAATAATAAATAAGATAAAAGATTTCTAATTTTTAAACATTCCTTTTAGTCTGTCTACAAAGAATGGGTTTTTCCACGATATAACAAAAAAGGCAAAGTAGGTACGTCATAAAAACGCGGTATAAATGTTTTTCTTTTATTTAATTTTAGTAATAAACCTCTTCGCGGTTCGTGTAAAGTATCTTTTACTTTTTACTCGACGTAGATCTCAGTCGTAAAAAATGAACGATCTTTTTATTATTGGTTTCATTTTGAGGTCAAAAAGATGTGAAATTCTTAAGTGATACGATTTCGTAACAGGTGCTGTGTCTGTGGGTATTTTTAGGGCAGGAGGTAATAAATAATAGATATTACATAATTATTGATATCGGTACTGGACTGCACGGTGTCGCAGCTTCGATTTGCTCACGGAACAACTCTTTGTGTCATCCACAAGTTGTTGTTTCGGGTCTGGGTGTCATGAGTATGTGAACTTGTATGTTTGCAAAGGCACCCGCGACACAGGAGAAAATCCTAGTGTGGGGCAAAATTTTTGAAAACCAAAAAAAAGAAGACTATTATCTAGTAGAAAAGAAATCGCTTGTTTATCAGTTGCACTACCCGTACAACGAATGAGGTAGTCAATAATTAAAACTATGACTATGCTTCTTAAAAAGTTAACCACGGTTATTGAACCCATTAGGGTTCTTCCTCTGTGTAAAAGGAAAATCAATAAGTCGGCCAAATAAATTATTTTCGCCCAGTGAACCTGTCTATTACAAAGCCATTGTGAGTTCCCTACCGTTTTCGAAATCAGGAATCGGAAAAGGGTCACCGCCAATAAAGGTGAAATTTATTTTCCTATTTCGCAAATATTAACGTTTCGAGGTCGTCTCATTGAATATTTTTCGTTTCGAAATGTGGTTAATTGTGATTTTCTAAGAATTTTGTTTGAGATAACGTGCCTAAACACTTTCAGTCACACTTTTAACTGGTTACGAATATATTTTATTTAATTACTAGCTTTTACCAGCGGCTTCGCTCGCGTCATAAAAGGATAAAAAGTAGCCTATGTGACATATACCAATACATACAACGCCATCTATACCAATACTTTTGTTTGCCCTCGGGAATATCAAATTTTTTCGGTATAAAAAGTACCCTATTATTTAATCCAGACTACTAACTTAACGTCTGTAAAAATTCTATGCAATCGGTTTTGTAGTTACGGCGTGAAGTCGGAACAAACAAACAAACAAACTCACTTTCCGATTTATAATATTAGTAAGGATACTATACTAAATATTCAGTAGCAGCGCGAAAGTCGCCGCGTCGCGGGTCGCGAAATGCTGCTCATGAATATGAGCCTCTAGCATGGCTTGAAACTAGTCGAGTTCCTCGTTAAATTATTACGTGAGTAAGCCGAAAACATAATAATTTATGTAATTATGCTTAAAAACCAAAGCAAAAAAATTTGAAGCATACTTCGCATATTGAATGTCTAAGAAAAGGTGGTTAGTTACAGTGACCAGTATAATAAATTCTAATTAACCAGCTTTCAACTCAGGAAGCCATAGCAATTTATACACCTGAACCTTCTTCAATATTCGCACTACGTGAGTAGGTATTTGTGAAAACCGTTTTATTCATATAGACAGTTTAGTTCAGAGCCATACTTCGGCACAAATGGGCCGGCTCGGTTCACAGAAAACCGACATGAAACAACGCTTGCGTTGTGTTTCGTCGTGTGAGTGAGGTTACCGGAGGCCCAATTACCCTCCTTCCCAAACCCAAACAATCCTCAAATTCCTAATTCCCAAAAGGCCGGTAACACACTTATGTTCCAGGTGTCCATAGGCAACACCGATTGCTTACCACCAGGTGATCCGTCTGCTTGTTGACCGGCTTATCCCATAAAAAAAGATAGACAGACTTGAAGTCTATCTCTATTTCCACTGCCAAAAATATTTGGAGTATATAGTACAGCGATCAACCCGGGAACCAAAGCTAAGTATTTCATTCAACATCGTAAAAGAAGTTTGTAAGCACATTAGCACCACTCGATCTGCGTCAGAGGTTAAAAACATGTTTCGGAGCCACAGACAGACAACAAATAGTACGGTAATTAGCTACAAACCCCAGGTCACATGTGTTTGTGACCTCTGTCTGGGACTAAGGTTGTCGCTTTCTGTAAATTATTTGAGTAACATAATTATTTTTAAACTAGCTTTTACCCGCGGCTTCGCTCGCGTCACAAAAGGATAAAACGTAGCCTATGTGACATATACCAATACATACAGCGCCATCTATACCAATACTTTTGTTTTCCCTCGGAAATATCAAATTTTCGGGATAAAAAGTACCCTATTATTTAATCCGGACTTCTAACTTTACGTCTGCAAAAATTCAAAGCAATCGGTTTAGTAGTTACGGCGTGAAAGCGGAACAAACAAACAAACAAACTCACTTTCCGATTTATAATATTAGTAAGGATAGACTGATGATAATTTTTATGAAGCGTAGTTAATTAGTTACGTCATAAAATA